ATACGAACGATTTTGGCAACTTTTAATAAAGTACTTTTCAAATGAGGGTTTTGGAGCCAGAAACATTAAGTTTGAGTTATGCAGTTAGCCTACCACCATTTCATAGATGCTGACTGAAGACACAAGATATCTCCGTCAGAGACAGAAATTGTATTACTCACTGTGAACAAGCAGCATGAATATTTGCCTTGCTTCTCCCTTGTCCTCATATCTCACCGGAGCCGTGCAATGTACCCTGATGACTATCACACACACACAGTGGGTTGATGTCACAACTGTGAAACACTGAGGTGGGGAACCCTCTACTTTTATAACAGGCCATAAACAAGCATTCTCTTTGTCCAAGTGAACAATGATATCTCATCTTTCAAAGCTAGCAGCTGCATAAACAACCCTGAGAAATGGCTCAGATAAAGAATCATCCGGGCTTTTCAGTCTTGCGATAATAGCCAGAGGTATAGGAGATGAAGAGGCTCAAGGAAGGCTCCCAACCCAGATCCAGGCTCTGCTACTTACTAGCTGTGATTTGGGGCAAGTCTGTTTGCTTCTGAAAGTCTCATTTCATTATATGTATAATCATGACCATCCTTATTGTCTTGATCCTGAAATAATGCATTTAAAATACTCAGCATAGTAGCAGGCATATAGTAGGTACTAAAGTTGTTATTTTTATCTTTCCAGAAGACAAAACAAAACAAAGAGTAAGTTCTGATGTTTTCCCAAATTCGTAAATCAGAATTGTACAGATTCTTGCAAGTTAATAATCTACCTAGGCCTTGACTTGCAAAATGAGGATAGCAGTATCCTTATCACAAGATAATGGAAACATATCATAGACAGTTAAATATTACTTATAAACTGCTTACTTCACTATTACATCCGACTTTACTCCTTATATCACAGAGGCATTATTGGATCAAAAATCAAATAACAAGAAGAAATTTAATGTCGAAGATGTTATGCATAGCAACTTGTCAAAGATCATAATATAACTTCAGTTTTTATTTAAGCTAGACATAATCACTTTGTTTACAAGGTGGTTGTGAAAAGAATTAGAATTTACTTCATATTATGTATTTATTTTTTGAACGTTGACAGCCTTTAATTTTTAAACAGAAAAGCAGCCTCATTTCAATATATGCTTTTTAAAATGCTGCTTATTCAATAGAAATAAATTTATAGTGCTATAAAATGTAAGTTGTAGGGACAATGTGACATGTGTGTAAATATGTATGTGTTTCTAAAGAGGTCCATAGTTTATTGACAACAGCTTTCTAAAATGAACATCAATACTGAGATTGCTTTGGAAATGGATTGCTGAGGAGTATGATTGTCTCCATGATCAGACAACAAAACTCCAGAAGTAGTTCACAGAATCTAATTCTAATCTCCCATCTGATGCTCCAACTATCTAATTCATCCTAAGAGTTATTTACCTTTCATAAACTAATTCATGATGAAATGCCAAATAACTTCAAATATATAAAATTAATGGAGAAATTACCAATTTTTTAAAGTTTAGTTACATCGCTCTGATTTATTTTGAAAGAATTATTTACATATTTTATTTTAAGTTTAGTAATTAATAGTGTATGCCATATAACGTTTTTGGGGTTATAAAAATATAGAATGTAAAATGTCATATTAATTACAGAACCCATTTTCATGAAAACATTTCAGTGCTTTGGAGGGGAGTCACTATACTTAAAAGCTAAGAACATGAAATCTAGAAATAGATCCCAGAGCAGCAAATTCAGCTCTACTAACTTCTGCTGTGCAATGTCAGCTGGGCTACTTAACCTCTAAGTTTCTACGTCTCTAAAATAGGGTGATATCATTCAACTATCTTATAAGTTTGTAGTACAGAACAAATGAGTGTATATAAAGTATTTTGAATAGCACTCACCACACAGTCAACACTATAGGCATGGTATTTACCTACTATGATATTACAAAGATATTTTAACATTGATTAAGTTGTTAATTAAGAGGTTATTATTTCATGACATTAAACTTAGAAAGATCAGAGATGAACAAAAATATTCAGTTTTGAAAAAATCTGCAATGGAGTCCGAAAACATTTTAAAAATTCAATTAGTGGTTAAGATAGACACCTTACTCTAAGAAAATAAGCAATCATTGAATTGTAATGAGTTCAACTGTTTGTGCAGACTATAGTCAGCTCTTTTAATATTACTACCTTACTGAGCCAAGACTTCTTAAGAGAAAAGAAGACACGCCATATCCTGTTTATGTGTCTTGTCTCAGAAAGAACTCAGTGTCCTTCTTACACAAGAAGGCATTCATTTCCTAAAGAGTAGAATGTGATTAATTGCCTCTTGATTTAGTTTTCTTTTGATGTGGTAAAGCATATCTTTAATTTATATGTAGTGTTTTGAGAAAGAAACTTAGTATCACACCCACCAAGTTGACACATATTTTTCATCAATATGCTGCTAAAGGAGCAATTGTATTATACCTTAAACAAAAAGAAAGAAAAGTCAATGAATAGATATTTTTCAGGATATGATTTATGACAGAAGTTCTACAAACTGTGTTTTTCTTTGCCAAATAATTCCTTTCAAGTGCTTTTTTTTTCAGAATTATGTAATGCCTCTCATTTTATGCCAGAAAAATAGCCAGGATATGAATTTGACATCATATTCATGGGAAGAGTGTGGAAAAGACTCTGAGAATGCTATTTACTTCCATTAAAAGGTCACTGAATTAATTCTGCAAGTCATTGTTTGAAACTGACTGGCTGAGAGCCTTGGATATTTGAAAAATTAATGTGTGTGCACTCAAAATGTATGTGTGCACACACTTCTAACAAATCCTTTCACAAGGCAGAGAACATTGTGTTCACCTAATTTCACAATTGCCTTTTTAAGAGAGAGCTTTGCAAAACTACACAGTCGTACTCTCAGGATTACTTAACTTAGCTGAGCCAGAATAAAAAATGTTTTTGAATATTAAACTCTATAAATTATTTTAGTATGTTATGAACTTGAATGAATTACCATCCTCCTGAGTCTCTTAAAAATTCAGCAGCTTCACATATCTGGACATTTGTGACTCCCAAATTATATTAACTAGACCTAGCTCACCAAAAATATGCACTGTAGAATATGCATCATTACAGCTTTATGTCTGTGATCTACATAAGAATGCCATTTTGGAGAATGTAGTTATAGTTAGCAGAGCTTCTGGGCATTTTTTTTTTCAAGCTTAACCAGTTCTAACATATGTCTTAATTCAGTCATTTTTCTGCCCACACTATTGAATTTAGGGAGGGTTAAATGAAAGCCTAGGAGTGGTTGAATGTACTAATAATCCTTAACAACTAATATTTATTGAGTGTTTGCTATGGGCCCAGCACTTGTCTAAGCACTTTACACGTATTAAATCATGTATGGCTCACAGCAACTCTTTGGAGTGGGTAGTATTGTTACCTTTATTTCAAAGATGAGAAAAACTGTACCAGGATTGAAGTACTCTGCCTAGTGTCAGAGAGTTGAAGGGCCGTAATCTGCCTAGGGTCACAAAGTTGTAGTTAACTAATCTACCCAGGGTGCTCACTGCTACACTGAATTTTAACAGGATTGCTTTCAATAAAAGAGGTCAGCTAGAGCATTCTCAGGATGCAACTTTATTTGAATAAACACAAGCTTGGATCTGGGCCTCTCTTTCAGTTCTAGGAACTACAATTTCTTGATAATGCCTGAAGAGATCTAGGCAATAGACTTTTCTAACAAAAAGTATTCAAAGATGATGAATTAACTGGAAAACCAACATATCAGTACCCTCTGTTAGGGGAGAGTCTTTCCTATGACCAGAACACTAGTGTACACTATCCAAGTTACCCTTTGTGTGAAGCCAAATCCAAGTTTGTCTGAGGAGCATGGAATTATATCATGGATATGCTACTGCAGGGTACCCAACTCCCAGGTCATGGTATCAGTGCGGGTCCCTTAGAAACCAGGCACAAAACGGGAAGTGAACTGAGTGGCATGCCAGTGAGTGAAGCTTTGTCTTCATTGACAGCCAGTCTCCATCACTCATATTACCACCTGAGCTCCATCTGCTGTCAGATCAGCCAGGGCATTAGATTCTTACAGGAGCACCAACCTTATCGTGAACTGCACATGCAGTTCTAGGTTGCCAGCTCCTTGTGAGAATCTGATGGCGGATAATCTGAGGTGGAGCTGAATGAAATATATACATTTCATTATATTTCAATGTGATAATAATATAAATAAAGTGCACATAAACGTAATATGCTTGTATCATCCTGAAACCATTCCTCCAACCCCGTTTGTGGAAAAATTGTCTTTCTTGAAACCTGTCCCTGATACCAAAAAGGTTGGGGACCACAATTCTGAGGGTTAGTTCCTGTCTCTGATGAGACCCAGAGAAACATCCTAGTTTCACAGCAGGCGACCTGACTCTAAAAATGAAAATTTCAAGACCTCCAGATTTACTTTACTAAATACATTGCAGGTTGTTCACTGATAGCTTCTTCAGAGTAGTTACACAGATGACTAGAAGTTGCATGTTGGATTGCCCCCTTGCACCCTGCTTTTCTGTGCTTAGAATACCAATGTCTCTCAAACATTCTATGTAGTTTTGGGGAAAAGACACTTTTTTTTGGCATTTGGCGTTATTGTTATAAAGCCCACTCTCAAATTTCTCTTTTGGGACTGACTTCTAGACACATAGATCTCTTATAGACATCTGCATAAATAAGTAAATAGACAAATAAATATGAAGAAATGTTTATAGCTAAACATATACAACTATACTCCACCATCACCATCCACAAACAGATTTAAATACAAAGGTATAGCTATTTCCTAGAAGATAACGTGCTTAAGCTGGAGAAATTTTTATTTGAATAGATGTTATTCACTACCAAAGTTACATTGTTTTCTCTGAACAACAGAATATTAATATCATGCTGTAAGTTTTCTTTAAAAATAATTACTTTGAATTTTTTTCAGATTGACATTAACGCTTTCCTGTCCAATGGATCTCAAGAATTTTCCAATGGATGTACAAACATGTATAATGCAACTGGAAAGTTGTAAGTGGGAACAACTTACTTTTTCTGAATACTTTTATAATTTAGTAGGTATAAGCTTTTAATGACTTATATAAATATAATTTATTTTCTAATCATTTTGATCACATATTTACTGAATGGGCATGTAATCTTTCACCAGGTATTGCAAGTAATGATATCTATCAATTCATGCACTCTATACAATGAAAAAGAAACAAATTGAGGATCTAAAAATAAGGTTTTATTAAATGCTGGAAATCAAATACATGTCTTTCCACACATCATCAAAAGTCAAAAGGATGCTAATCATTAAAAACAAACGCCATTTACTTATTGAATACACTCTATAGACCAAGCATTCTGTATATGTCATTTCTTATCCTGACAACAAAAGTCTTGCTATACTCGTGTTTTCAGGTGTGGAAATGGTCCTTTTGAGTGACTGAGCATCATGCTCCAATTCACAAAATGATGACAGCAAACCAACTGCCTCCAAGGCAGGTGCTTCTTTCATTAACCAATATGTATTATTTTATTATAACTCTGCAGGGATGTTATATGTTATCTCAGAAGAAAAGAAATTCCTTGTATTTTATCCTAGGTTTTTCACACTTTCAGGCACTCCTCTATATTTCCTCTTATCACTGATTAACGTGATTACAGATAAAAATTTCAGATCCTTTTCTTTCTCTGATCTCATCTATATAATCGACCCTAAGTTAACTGTCCCTAGTGTTGAATCTCATACAAAAAGCAAGCAATATGCAATATTCTTGTGGCACTATGTCATACATACATAAATAAAAGGTCTATTTGACATATTCCCTGAATGTGGACCTTCAGACGTTACGTTTGGGAGGCAAGGTTTGTAGTGTGGTGGAACTGTCACTAGGTGGCGGTGGCATGCCTACCTTGTGGGAGAATGTGACCATCGCCCCCATTAACTCCTTCTTATAAAATTAAATAGATTATTTTTGTAAGTAGTTCTTAACTAGTACACACATACATGAGTAAAGTGCTAAAGTAAATGAAAGGAAAGTAAAGCACAGTGGAATGAGCTACTTGCAATCAGTCTTAAGTAGAGCGGGACCAATGCGATTGTCAGCAGTGTCAATTTTGGAATTGAAGAAAGGCAATCTGGGAATAAGCTGATCATATATTTTGGTTGAAAAATTAAGTATCTATCAGGGTATTGTGTACGAAATATCTGAACGCTGGATTTATTCAACAGGTAGTGAGAACTTGTTCAAGATGTGCGGTATAAGACAATTATTAGGCTTATACTCAGCCTCTTAAAGATCATGTTAGTTAAATTAACCAAGATTACTTAAGAATGTTATAATAATATTCCAGCAAAAAGAATAGAAAGTAGGACAAAGGGGCATAATACGGAAGGTAGAAACAACAGAGATTGATGCAAAGTGGATAGGAAGGTGCTGGGTGCCTGGGAGACAGAGCTGAAGAGCCTGGGTGAATGCGATTATATGAGAAGTGTTGATGAAGGGAGGAAACATAGGTTGAGAAGCAAATGTCCATGGACCTATTGATAAGCCCAATCTAATACACATGAGTTTTAGGAGATGTGAGTCTAAATCAAAAAAAAAGAGCTAGCACCAAAGATAGATTATTAAAAGCCATAGACAAAGTGACTCAAGGAGTCAGAGAAAAGAGCTAAAGAAGAGAGGAAAACAAAAACACAAGAACAGACCCTTAGAATCCTTGCATTTAGTGGTTTGTTGGAAGGCAATACAGACACAGGGTTGTCATGGATGTCAAATCAACATCAATATTATTTAATTTCATAATTGAAGGGACTGTCAAGGAGATCTGTTTACCAGTATCAAATGCTGAAACAATGTTTTGTTATAAAGGTAACTGATAAAAAAGGAATAATTGTTATAGTTGACAAAGACAAAAGTGATTAGAGTAAGGAGGTTTAAAGCTGGCTTCTAAAAAGTTTTTTAAAGAAGTGGGTGATGTTTGGAAAGAGGAACCGTGTAAGTGAAATCTGTTATTCCATGATAGTTATTAAAGAAAGGTGAAAAAGAGCACAGTATAGTGCCTGAAGATTAGCTTGGTTACTAGGCTTCATTTTTAGAATAAGCAAAACTCATTGGGGCTAGTTTGCAGGACACAGGTGGACATAACAAGACCTATCATGCGTCTGCCTTTCTAAGAACATTTCCAAAGCTATCTTTTCTCCTTCCCCTTTGTTTATTAATTTCTCTATAAGGAATGAGTGGTTGACTCAATGAGTCCCTTCATATTTCAGTCATTAAACACGTCCTGTCCTCTTCTTAAGTATTAATTTAGCTCACCATAAAGGCACTGTCTATTAAACTCGTTTAGCACATGCTAAGAAATCTTGTCAGCCAAGTCAAGTTCTTCAAGGTGTTTTTTCTTAAACTCTTTTAGGATAATTTATCTATGTCTGTTTTGCTCTTTCTTTTTAGTGGTTTAAAATGACAAGTCAAAAGAGTTTAGCAAGGCACCCTGGCTCATACCTATAATCCTAGCACTTTGGGAGGTCAAGGTGAGAGAATTGCTTGGGCCCAGGAGTTTTAGACAAGCCTGGGCAACATAGCAAGACCTCATCTCTACTTTAAAAAATATAAAATAGACACACTGAACCTACTAGAAACCAGCTAAAAAAGAGTTTAAACTACAGGAAAGCAAAAGTTGTAAGAAATCCAGGGTCCAGCCGGACTCGGTGGCTCAGCCTATAATCCCGCGCTTTGGGAGGCCGAGGTGAATGAATTGCCTGCGCCTGGGGGTTCGAGACCGCCTGGGCAACTTGGCGAGACCTCATCTCTACAGTAAATAAAAAAAATCAGCCGGGCGTGGTAGTGCACGCCTGTAATTCTGGCTACTCGGAAGGCTGAGGCGGAAGGATCGCAGGAGCCCAGCAGGTCGAGGCTGTGGTGGCCGGGAGCGTCCACTGCACTCCAGTCTGGGCTAGAGTGAGACTCCAGCTCAAAAAAAAAAAAAGAAATCCAGGGTCCACTTTTGAATGACTGGAAAGGGGAGGAAAAAAACACTCAGCAATATTGAGGCGTGGCAAACGGACAATAAAAAGACATAATTTAAAGGCAAAGGCCTTAATGGCCTGTGTTGGTCCAACTTCCTTAAATTCAGTAAATGCTCAATAAGCTTATGTCAATAGTCAAGACTGTTCTAGTGGCCTAGGGAATGTTCTTCCATTTAAGCATCAACTAAAAAATAACCACCAAATGCCTAATGTATTCCACATATTATTTTAGGTGACATAAAAATGAATAAAGCACTAAAGTCATTGTTTTCAAGGATTTCAGGGACTAGCTTTTTATGCAAATGCAATAATTCAGCTAATGATGATAATCATTTGCAAATGTCATTTCCTTAGCACAAAGGGGACAGAGATTAAAAGAAAAACATAATTAAGAATGAATTAATAACTTAGAAAATAATACTTTTGAAAGAGTGAAATTCCAAAACAATAATTTAATAAAACAATCTTAGCTAAAGTGCAGCCATATTAGCACTGCTTAGGTCTGTCATGCTTTCCTAGCAAATTTCCTAGCAAATTACCTAGCTTGCTCTCTAATCACTAGCCAAGGACAAACCTGGTTTATCAGAGGTAGCTATTGATAATTGTTTTATAACCACTCTCCAGCTTGTTTTGTGCTCATTAGCTCTTCTATTCCAAGTGTTTGACCCCAGCAAACAACAAAACAAGTTAACTAACCTATTGTGATCAGCCTTTCATGCCCTATACTTGTGACAAACAGACCCCACCACCATGGCAACAGTCATGCAACTAACCCACCAGCCTGCTGTCCATCACTGTGTCTTCAGTACCTGTTCTTATTTGCCCCTTTGTGATGATGTATTGCATACCACCACCCAATCACCATAACAACTTTTCCCCATCAAAGAAAAGGTTTAAAAAGCATTTAACCTCAAGCAGCAGCCATCATGCTTTTGTCTAAACTATGGTCTGACCATGCTTTTTGTGGGCTCTGGCTGGTCTATACCTCTCCTTAAGTTTTGGCCCCCTCCCCTATCTTGGGGTGGTGAACCTCCGCGTGAGTTCTCTCTCTCTCTCTCTCTCTCTCTCTCTCTCTCTCTCTCTCTCTCTCTCTCTCCTCTCTCTCTCTCCTCTCTCTCTCTCTCTCCTCTCTCTCTCTCCTCTCTCTCTCTCTCTCTCTCTCTCTCTCTCTCTCTCGTTTACTTTCTAAATAAACTAAATTTTCCAATCCACCTTCTGTGCAATTCTTTGCATCATTCCTGCAGCACCTTCTTGCTGCTGACCTAACATCTCACTGACCAGACATTTTGGAGGTCCTAGCAATTTAGCTAAACTAGCGATGACCCCACACACTGAAAAGTATACATTTCTGACTTAGAATGAAAATGCTAGATAATATACCATTCCTAGTTAGGGAGAAAGAAGTTATTGAGGAGGAGGTCTATGCAGGGAGAATCCAAGTGAAGTAAAGCCTTGCATTAGAGGTTGATAAGAGGAAAAAAAGTATGAATTAAGGATACATCAAAGAATACATAACTTTGAAGCCAGGACTAAAAATACTGATTCAGCAAATGGAAAGTGAGGGGAAAATAAAAGAAAAAAATTTTTAAATCATATCTATGAAGTACAGAGAGAGAGTAAAAATAGTCCTCAATATTACAATAGTAACATAATTGTGAATGGATAAATTCATTTAGAAAAAAAGAGGTTCTCAAACTAAGCATTAACAAATATTAAGACCAACCACATATTGTCAACTAGACACATTTTAAAAATATTATTGAAAATATATGGAAAAATTATACCTGAGAAATGTGTATAAAATAAAACCAGGATAATTTTAATATCAGAAAAACAATGGTAAGAAAATTGCTATGAGGTTTATCATGCTGGTAAAAGAACAATACATAACTAAGTTATAATGAATATGAAAATATATGTATGTACTCATAGAATTTCCAAATACATAAAGCAAAATCAGGCAGAACTATAAATAAAAATATATAAATCAACA